ATCTTCCTCGACCGGGACAGGCTCCCTTGGGTAATCCACCAGTTGGACCAATTGGAGGTATGATGCCACCACAGCCAGGAATTCCTCCACAACAACAAGGAATGAGACCTCCCATGCCACCTCATGGTAATCATAAATTTCCCAGCTTTCTTTTCTTGAAAAGACCTTTCCTTGGTATAAACTTTTTTAAAACTTGGAATGGCATATACTGGTGAGGGGGTGTGAAGCTTTTCACAAAATGCAACTTCGCCTCTTATTTAAAAGAAAAAATAAATTCTTCTTTGCATCTTAAATGTTCTGTTTATAGGTCAGTATGGTGCTCATCACCAAGGCATGCCAGGATATCTTCCTGGAGCGATGCCTCCGTATGGTCAGGGACCTCCAATGGTGCCCCCTTACCAAAGTGGACCTCCTCGACCTCCAATGGGAATGAGACCTCCTGTAATGTCGCAAGGTGGCCGCTACTGATGCTACTACACACGCTCTAATAGGTTTGGAGATTAAACCTTTTCTCATCTTGTGCTGTTAATATAGCCGAGCTTCCGTCAATTAAAGCTTCATTGTGACTTTAAAAAAATAAGTATCTTCCCACATGCAAGGCGCTATTGGACATTCTTATTTTACACGGGAAAAATTATTTGGAATAATAACAGGAACTTTTCCTGATGTTGCAATTTATACTGTATGGCTTCTTTTTCATGTTTCATCTAGGTTTTTAGAAGTGAAGTATAGTAAATATGGTTCGTTAAATTGTGAAGGCGCTGGAATTACATGAACATACCACCTTAAAGGCAAGTTCTGTAACATTATGTTGCTATTTGTGAAATGATGCCTTCACAGCACTTCAAGTGCTGTTGGACTTCATGTCCCCAACATAGTTTGGTGAGGGCTGTAACTGTTCCCAACTACTTGTACATTTAAGTCTGAACTTGTAACAATATTTAATGTATTTAGAGTTCTTCCTGTTCCAGGGTTTAAGTAAACTGACCCACTAAGGTCGTGTGACTTTTCTGTACTGTTATAAACTTCATTGTAATAAAAGAAGAGAAAAATTTATATGCCTTTTTATTCATGACCAGCTGTGGACAACTGCCTGAAAGGTTTGTACAGATGCATGCCATGGTAGCTATTGGTGTAATGAACACAGTTATTGGTGCTGTTTTGATAAAATCTGAATTCCTTGTTCTAAAATTAAGTCACTCCTTAGCTGCACGTCGAAGTAGACAAAGACCTGTACACTTATTAACTGACTCTTCAAAAATGAAGCTGCAGGAGGCACATCTTAACTGTTGGTTGTAACTTCTCATAATGCATATGTTTCTTTATTTGTGCTTTCTTGTCCTCAATAAATTTCAAATGATTTCTAGTCCTGGCACTTACTTGTAGGATGTAAAAGTGATTGCTCTAAGATGCATCCTAGTGCCAGATGTGTCCTGTTAATTCACTCTTCGACTGACTCTTTTTAATGTGCAAATGCATATGACTTTCAGGAGCCTTTAGATGAAGATTTCTAGAAGCTTAGGTGCATGTCACATGGGTGAGTGACTTCCAGTTGATGTTGTATTGAAGTTGACCTGCAAAAGAGAAAAAGTAGCTTGACCACACTCAGCATATAAGAGAGAGAGAGAGAGCAGGCAAGAGGAATATGTTATATGATGTATTTTTGCTTTAAACGTTCAGAATTTCAGATCTCAAGAGAATCTAAAAGGTGAATCATCCATTGTGTGCTATGGTCAGATGTGACAGTTTCTTGAGCCATGTAATAGAAGTGCCTAGAGTAAGAGACCTTTTTATCAGCTCTCCTAATTCCAGTTATCAAAAGAGGTCCTCCCCATATGTATTAATCATCTGTTTATAAGAGCAGAGTGATAAATTACTTTCAAGGTTGTAATTCTCTGAATGTCTAACGCCACTGTGTTAGAATGCTGTGTTTCTGGTGAGAACGAAGATGTAGAAGGAGACTTTTTGTAGGGATGTGAGGGCTTCCTTGGTCTCTTCACACCGGGGGAGTAAAACAGTGGTGAATTTTTCATTTGCAGGTCAACTTTAAATACATGTTCCAGCCTCAAGCCTTATCTGTGCAATTTTAATTCATGGGGATATCTCTTCTTTTAGGGTAGATTAGAAAGGTTATCAGCATTTTTGTGTTGATTTATGTTCCATAGATGTTTTGATGGTGGATTTTTTTCCACTTAGTGAGCATTTTGGCTCTCTTTCAAGAAACTCTTGGGGTTTTTTAGCTGCACTTAAGTACTTTATGTGGCTTTATTCTGTACTGTCTCTTAATATTCCCAAAATACAGTGCAGCTAAAATACTACATTATCTCTCAGCTTCAAACCTGGGGTCATGGCATGGCTCATAAAAGCACTAGAGCATCCAGTATGCTCTAACAGCAGCTGAATGGCCTTAGTTTAACCATTAAGAATTATCAGGCACTTTTTCTGAAGTGAATAGCAGTTTTAAGACCATAACTCCAAGCCTCTGTTGAGAAGCAGTTCTCTCTGATCACTGGTTTCTGCTGATCACCTGTCAGATGTGCAGTATTTGGCTTGCAAATGTGCTGAGATGTCAGATCTTTTGTTAGCTCTTCATCTTGCTTTACACATGAGTCTAACATAAAACTGTTTTGCTTGGGCAATGCTTTTATACTCTGGTTTTCTTCTGTTTTTCCTTAATAAGGATAATTACAAAAACAAACACTGGAGAGATTTTTAGTGTCTTACATTCATCCTTTTTTTAATACTACACGTAAAATTAATTATAAATTGATCTTAAGTTCTGCTTTTAAAACTATAGAACCTCTTGCTTTTTCTGAAGATCGTAAGAGCTGCTGTAAGGATGCTTTGCCCTACTGCCCCTAGTAAAATAAATACCTTCTCCCTTCATTGTCTTTCTGTAACTCATTGGTATGTTGTTTTCAGACCCTGACTTCCTAGGATCAGTATTTGAAAATCTTACTGCATGTACTGTTAACTCAGCATATTCTGCAAGTTGTATTAAGAGTTTTCCTCTTAAATAGTGTATGTCGCAATAATAGTGCCATTTTGTAGCTAATACTACATAGATTTGTAGCTTGTACACATTTTAAGATTGAACTTTCCTTAGTAGTAACGTTATAATAGTCCTTCAACTAAGTACTGCCACATATTATTTGTATGGTACTCTTAATAATCTTCAGCAAGCAGGTGAACAGTTTTTCCATGGTTTTTCACGTGGATACTTTCCTGCTCCTGTCATTTCTGTGCTGTAAGACCTGTGATGTGGCTATCTTTAGTTACTCTTCTGTCTCTTGTGTGTACTCTTCTGTAAACGGGCAGGTATTTCAGTGCATATGTTGTCTGTTGGTGCCTGCCTTCATTTCTTTGGATACTGCTTCTTAATGTTCAGAGAGTTGGATTTATGGTGCATTTTTCTAAAAAGAGGAAAATATACTTTGAATGTAGTCATTGCTTGTATAAAGACTAAGGCTTGATTTACAGTGCAAAGTTTAATCAACATAGTTGTGCCAGCAAAATCCCTAATGTAATGCAGCCATGCAGACAGGTTTTTGCTTTAGTTAATCTCTCCCTGGAAAGAGATTGCAGAAACCTTTATGATTACAGAAAAGCATCTCTCTCTCGTATCTGTTGCAGGACTGTAGTAATATAATTATGTAGGCAGAAGCTTTGTTTTTCATTTGTTGTGTAGATTTGCCATGGCAGATCTTACAGTGAAATTAAAACTTGCAAGTGGGTTTTGATCAATCTTTAAATTGGTATGTAATGCAAATGTTGAATAAAAAAAAAAACAGGCTGCAAGAAAATGCTCAGACACAGGTGGGAAAATATGTTTAGCAAAATACTTAGAATTTATGACATCTAGGACTTCTTGTAAAGGTTCTAAATTATTTTATGCATGGTCTCTCAATATGACTATGAGAGGCTTGTCTTGTATCTGCTGATTTTTAGAGTAAAAGGGATGAGACTGACATGAAAGAACCTTGGAAAAGCCCGGGCTAGTTTTTCAGAAGTCTTGATATAACTGTTTTGTACTGCCTCTAGAATATCTTTCTGCCTTTGGCAAAGGTTGCTTTAAATAAAATCTTGAAAATTTAGCTGGCTTATGTGGACTAAAAATGTTGTCTTCTGGAACTTTTTGGATTTTTTTTTTCTCCACAGATGAGATTTTTAGGTGCTAATAATAAATTTGAGGCTGGGATGTATATCTAATAATTTCAGTGGATAACTATTCCTCGCTCTGTGCATGCATGGGAGAATACAAACAAGCTTCTAGAAACGTATTCAGCTGCATCTGCCTTCTATGGTTTCTGCAATTAGTGTACAGAGCTCTTGAACATAGAACTGTAACCTCCTTAAAACTGGGATAAAATTGAACGGAATATATAACCTGCAGTTATTTTATAGGAATCAAAGAATTCTGCATACAAGATAAAAAAATAAAATACCAAGATTACTTCAGTTTTATAAACAGCAAGAAGGGCATTATGACTCTTCAGTTAAATTGAGACTCTGATATACCAGTCCATGAGCTGGGGCTGCAATTTAAACTGATGACACTTCATAGTAAATGTCTTAATAATTGTACTGGTCTAGCTTCTACATAAATACTAAGGTGAGGGTGAACATTTTCAGTGGCTGATGGAATCTTTAACTACTTTTTGTGAACTAGTATAATAAATACTATCAGTTATGGGAAAAATGCCCCAAGACAACTGACTTATGTTCCATTGATCAAGATACAAAGCAAAACAAACTGTCTAATTCAGAAATAGCTACCAACTGTAAAATTTTTGTTTAGGCCTAACAAAATAGGTGCTATAGCAGTCATTTTCTTTTGTTTGCTTGATCACTGGAATTTTGATAACTTTGAATGCATGTCTTTCACTTAATTGGGTCATGTTTTTTCTAAAATTTAAATTTTTCTTCTTCCTATAGCCCTGCCATAGGACAGGCTGAGGCAGAGTCTCAGTGTTGCCCTGTTCAGTCTGAGGCAAGTGGGATTTATTTTATTAATTCTGGGGGCTTTCACAGCTTTATGGCTGTTGGATATTTATGTCCCCAAACTTGCAGCAAGTTTGGTGAAGGCCCCTAAATTTATTTTAATTTAGGTTTTTTATTCTCTTTTGGTAGATGGGCTCTATATTAATATTTATCTTTTTATTATTGTGTTTTTAAGAGTTTTAGGGGGAGGGAACATGTTTTAAGATGTTTGGGTACCTTTTTCTCTTAAGGGAAGGAGTTTCCTTCAAGGCTGCTCAGATAGTCCTTCAGCCACACTGCCCCCCCCCCCTTCCCTTGCATTGCATTTGTGCTGTATTTGGTTTTGGTTTCAGTAATGTGACTTTGTGTAGTCTCTGAACTAGTGGCATGTAAATACCAATTACTAATGTTTCCTCTTCTGGGGAGATTTATCTGTTGAAATACTTAAAATGCTTAGGCTTTAACTAGTAAGTGACATTTATAGTCACAAAATTGTGTAGCCTAAATTACAGAATACAGTTTCTTTGGAGGAGGTTAAGATGTTAATACTGCTGTGTATGTAAGATGCACCACAACAAATATTAATGTAGAGCCCTATGAAGAAATAGATTCAAGTTGGTGAAGTAGAATAGAAGAATGAGAAATGGAAGCTGCAGATTTTTCAGTTTGTCAGTTTCAGGGAAAACCTTTTGTCAGATCTCAAATACACCAAATTTGACAATCTTTTGTCGACAATACTGAAAGCACTTTTTTGAAACCTTGTGGAATTTTCTTGCATAGTCAAAATTTGCTTAGGTATATGTTTATCTGAAGTTCTGTCTTTCACAAAGTGACTAGCAAAAAATTCTACCCTTTGTGAAGAAAAATGAGCTTTGGTGTTGCTGCTCACTCTGTTGCAGATATATTGGCTTTGAATGCTTGAGGTTGCTTTTTAAAGACAACTTCAGCTTCAGAAGAACAGGTTTTGTTGAAGGAGGTCTTGTGGCCTATCAGCAGTGAAAAAGAAAATTAACAAACATTGGAGTCGGGATTTATAACTTTTCGCATTTTTGAGATCTTTTTAAAATCTCTGGTGTTTTTTGATGAGCATAGACTATTTCGTTTCTTCAAGATTTTGCTACATGACCCCCAGTTGTGATTTTCAGTAATTTTAATTAAAGGATAGAGTTGTAATTCTTAACTTAGAAGAGTGGATTTCCCATTCCTGATGTGCTGCTCTTTGTTTGTACTCTACCTTTTGCATTTTTCCTGTAGAAGGCCCCCATAAATAGTCTAGTCTGATTGGAAAATTGACATGTCTTCTGTTGTCTGTTTCGAATTATTACTGAGCTTGGTGTTGCTTTTCTAATCTTCGTTGTGGTGCTACCCTTGATAACAGTGAAGGTGAGAACAACACTTCAAGATTCACTACTGCAACTAGTATTTTAGGAGCATTTGGCTTAGTTCTTATTTCTGTAGAATGTCCAAGGAAACCATTTAACCAAAAATAATATACAGTATGGCTTGGACTTTATGAATCTCTTAGAGACTCAAAATGAAAAATGGGCAAATTTCAAATGCCTGATAATGAAGTTTGTTACCAGTTTCCATTTAAGACCGATGCAGCACTAGGTAGTTTTTAATCTAACTACTCACATTCAGCTTGTCATCAAGCACAGAAAGCTGAAGTTCAGATCTGTATGCAGTCTTGTGTCCAATGGAGTACCCTACTTAGATCCACACTTGGGTTATATCTTACAAATTGATGATCCCTGGCAAGAGCCAGAAGTTTTCAAATTCAGAGAAACTGCTTTTATCTGTTTTTGTTGAAGATTCGTTTCACATCTTCATGGAAAAGATGTCTCCAAAATGCAGTTCCTCTTTTCATTGTGACATTGTTTAAGCTCTGTATACTGATACTTTTGAGCAAGTGAACCATTCCTTTGTGTTTTGATATGTTTGTGAGCAAAATAGAGCATATCTCAGAACCATGTCTCCATAGATTTTTTTTTTTCTTGAAGCTGCTTTTAGACAATTCGAAGATCAGTTTCACACTATCTACTTCTGAAAGATGCATTTGACATTAAGACAGTTCTGTGGGGTGTTACTGTATGAATTAAAGGGGGGTTTTGACTCTGGGTTTTGCTGCTATGCTGCAAATAGGGTTTGTAACTTCCGGTGGGTAGTTCACACATCCTTCACCTCTATCCTTTACAGTGCGGTCCTTTCTGTAAAGGACTGGACAGGACAGGTCTTTTTTGTTCCTCCTTTGGGAGTTGGTAGTTTTAGCAGGTTATATCTGTGTTACTCTGACCTGTTACCACAGCCTCATGTATGTCCTTAAATTTGCAGCAAGTAATGATGTGCGTTTTTCTTTTGCTTTATGTTTTGTCTTCAAGGGTACGTGTGCAAGTGCTGCTGTCTTTCTGGTCACAAGGATAGCATAATGGCTCTGTGCTTTTTGCTGAGAGTATTTCCTCAGCTGTTAGACCAGCTGGCCTGTCATTTCTTTAAAACAACTTGAAAAATTTTCATCTAGTGCAAATGGTTCATGTTTTGCTCTTTTTGTGACATTGTGTTAGTGATGTTTTTCTCCCTGCCTCCTTGTGTGGATCTAAGGGGGATAGGTAAAAACCCCTGTAAACGAGATCTCTTTATTTTGAGGAACAGTAGTGTGTTTTTACACAGACTGCTGCAATATTGCACTGTCAGTCACAAAGTTGTACGTCTCACTGACTGTGGAATTTCTTTTCTAATGATAATATTTTAGTGACTTGACTTTTATAGATATTAATGTAAGTAGGTCTTGGCAAGTTTGAGGGTTTTTTAAGCTCAAGTAGAGGTACATGACTTTTTTTTTTTAAAGGGCAAGAATTACTGATATTCTTCTAAATTGGGTGAATTTGCACCCTCTGGTTTTAACAAGAGAAGTGATTGGGAGATGTGGCAAATAAAATAGGTACCACACATGAAGTTCTGGCTTGCGTTATAATTGTATGATGAGTTCATAATGTGTTCTGTGCCTTGCCTCATAAAGATTGTAGCCCTTAAATACTCTGAGGAATGGGCTACCTTCAGAAGAACTTTTTAGAAAAGTGTGTACCCTTGCAATCAAAATAATCAGACCAATTAAGTAATGGGTAGTGATTGGCTTCTGTAAAAATGCAGCTATCAGTGACTACCCTATTTTTCTGTAATAGTCAGAGTAGGTAGAGTAAGAAAAGTTTTGAGCTATACTTTGAAGGGATCATGATAGAATTGAGATGATTCTGAAGTGTAATGTATACAACATTCTTTCTGAAGTTCTGAAAAACGTTGTGAGAGTTTTCTTAAATACTGTAAACAGCAGGTTTATGCAGGCTTTTGATTGTCATGAGTACAGATTCTCATTAAGGCTCCACTAGAAGAAAATACAGTTCAAGTACAGTATTTGTAGATTTTGTTCTATAGTTGACTACATTTTTACCTTTGTCATGAGCGTCTGTTTGAGGGAGCCAGGCACTTTAACTTGCTGCTTTTGCAGACAGCCATATCCTGTCATGAACCACAGGATCCAGGATGTTATCCTCAGTTGTTTGTTCTTAGCATCCTGATGAGTCAGTATTGACCATGGTATGAACTGTCTGTGAGGGTTGGTATTTATACACCTGAACAGTGTTGTGAATAGCGAAGTGCTTGCACCTTCTGAGCAAGTTTACAATAACTTGTTTTATGGTCTTTCTTACAGTAGGAACAATCAGCAACACTGCTGTTCTAATGATGATGAATTTAACTTCTCCATAAATATTGTCTTGAACTTATCTCAAGGTTTTTCTTTCTCAAGGATTTAAAGTTGTTAAAAAGTATTTGGCAAATAGTAGAATTCTAATGCCAGTATAATCTTAACTAAAACAGTCAAATGCACAACTTCAAGAGCTTGAAAGCTTCCTTAAAAGCTTCTCTTGTTAGCAGTTAAAGCATATCTGTTAGCTAACTGCCTTTATACCAAATTCAGACTTAAAACATCTCAAATTGCATTTCTTAAATTTTGTCTAAATCCTAACTGAGTTCCCGGGTGCTATTCAGAAAGGGGGTGTTTTTAGAATTCAAACTTCTGCTGCCTTTAGTAGCCAGTAGGTATAAATGGCTTCCACTATCAGCAGTTCTGAAATACCAGACATTAATGCCGTACGGCCAAAACAAGCTATTTCCCTGTCTCCCAATTCAGAAAGTTACGTAATGCTTTGAGATAAAAGGTATCACGCAGAGCTTTTTTTCTTTCTCTTTTTTTTCATTGAGTTACTTGCATATATGTTACTTGCACTGAATTCTTTAGCTTCTTTCCCATAAATTTTAGTGGAAGAAAATACATTTTGCTCTTTCATTTGTAAAGTCTAGAATAAGAAAACACTGTATGAGACTGTTTAATGAAGGAACCTGGCAATGTAAGTATTGTAATTTCCTTTATGTTTGTGGTAGGCAACAAGATTACCTTGTTAAACTTCTGGCTTCTGTATGAAAAATATCAGAAAAGTAAGGGCAAATTGAAAGAAGTTTTATAGTTGCCTTTACTTCATATGCTTTTCTTAAGCAACAAATTGCAGTAATTGAAGTTTGGCAGCTTTTTAAATGAAAAACTAAATTATGGGTTGAACTCCTTGGTTTAATACAATTTGTGTTTCTGTTAACTAGCAGCAGAATTTCAGCATTTGCTACTTACTGGTAGAGAAGAAAAATTCCACAGCACTGCCAGTACAGGTTAGTTTAATCTGTAAGTACCTGATGTTCCTATTTGAAATAATTGTTCAAATGATACCACTTAAATACATGAGGGGAATTTTGGTCTCTGAAATGTGAATGTACCTGTTATCTACTACTGTTTTCAGTAGTGAGTGAACGTCTAGGTTTTTTGGTTTGGTTTTTTTTTTTTAAGATCTTAACGGTTTTAACTACACTTGCGGGTAGGTAATATCTGCAAGCACTTTTAAGGAAAATTTAATATGGAACCTTAACAAATAGCTGTCGGTGTTACTGCAAAGCGTGAAGATACAAAGTTGAAGTCACTTCTTCAGTAGAAGTGTTATAAAAGAGGCTGTTTTATCAGTGAACCAATTATAGGATACTATATTGTGTTGGGGAATGAGCATTTATGTAAGAATCTGTAGCAGTAATGTAATCTTTCTTTGATTTTTCTTTAGCTATTGCTAATTACTGTCTCCTACCAACAGATTTTTACTTTTAGGCCTGTAAGCCAGGAGCTTGACTTTTTTGTTGCTAGCCCATTTCAGCACTTCAGAGGCTACCTACAAATGTGGTTTTGCCCTGCTGTTTCATCATACTCCAGAGTTACTGCTCTGCCTCTCCTCTTTTTCTTCTGTTGCATTTCATATTCCTGGAAAATTTGGCATTTTACTTTGATTTTATAGAACATTTTACACCTTAAAAGAAAGGAGAGGTTCTTTGTGATTGGATGAAAGATGCAACCTTCTCTGGAAGAGCTGCATACATTTGTTTTTATTTAAGCTTTGTGTACTTCATTTCTACACATAAGCACAGAAGATTAAAACTTTCTGTGCTGTAGCACATAGCGTAGTTTGACAGCTGGATGAGTTGTAAAACCCTGTCCTTTTAATTCCCTTCTCAAGGACATGTTAGCACACTGAATTTGAGGGGCTTTTGACATCATTGGTGGAATTGGGAAGATCACATACTAGTGTGGTAGCTGAACAGACAAGACACTTCAGTTTTGCCAGCTCATCTGAATGGTCTAGAGCAGTTTCATGAGCAACTTAACGTTTCCAGAAGTATTGTTTGGTTTAGAATTTTGAAATCTTATGTGACACTGCAGAATTCATCATACTAACGTAAAAAGTTTTAAGGGGATTGTATCTCCCTGGGTTTTAGAATAGCTACATTTGAAGCCCATTTGGCATCTTTTCTATGTCAGTTAAGTCATTCACATTAAATTTCTTTGTCTGCAAAACTAGCTACATGCAAATTTTTGAGCCATGTTGCATAGGCGTTTTTCCCTAGAAGGAAAAAAAAGGAAAGCTGTATAATAAAATTTATAACTAATCTTTGCTGGTATTTCCTAAATCTTAATGGCAGATGTACATGAATAGTAGGGCCATTATCCTATTAACCAGAATGTTTGCATCTTTTAGGTTCTGTGTTTGACCCTTGTTGATACTTAATGCATTGCTCAGTAATAAGTCGGAAAGAGTAACTGACTGCTTTTGGCTGCTGAATGGCTTTGTGAAGTCTCACTTTTGACAGTGATAGGATGCTGACCTGCCCTACTTGTATACCAGCTTGGCAGTCAGTGGGAGTAACTAAAGGGTAGTGGTGTTCTCTAGCGCCTTTAACAACAAAAAGTGTATTTGTCCAGGGTAGATTCTAATATGAACTCTGGCAGAATGTCATCTCATTGTGAAGATTTGTATGGCAAATAATTACAGCACTTTTTGGTAGAATTAAGTTTATCTTCTTTTGAGGTGGGACCAAAACAATACTAGGAATGTGAGCAGTCTTAAATTGTAGCTCAACTTTCTGATACACTGTTACAGCAGCTTTCCTGATGTGGTTCCGAAGTCTTCCTTCCCAGTTCTGGTACATGGAACAGTGAGTTAGTTCACACTATTTCCTTTAGACTTCTGCTTAGTGACTCCTAATCACCCCTTCAGAGATTTCTGGTCACGCTGCAGCAAACCCAAACTACAAACTGGTTTTAGTACCTTCTTAAAGTACCTTAAAGCACATGGTTGAATTATGTCCCCTCTCAGCAGTACAGCCTCAGGAGTTAGTGTGTCATGAAGGTTTTTTCTGTAACTTAATACTGCTTTTGTGTAAGTAGTGTGAAAGGGATGGGATCATTGATCTTTTTCAAAAGACAGGTGGCAAAATATTGGTGTTGAATTTAATTCAAGAAAATGAGAGACTGGTAAGTATGTGCATCACTTTAATGCATGCAAATAATAGTAATGGTAACTAGCTTAACTTTATAGCATTCAGTTTACAAAGAAGATTCAAAGAAAATATGGAGCTAACATCATTTGCATCCATTGGGAACCTTCTATGAATTGTATGCTTCGGGAATGGATCATTGCACATATACATGTCTGTAATGTGTGTCTACCACTTTGTAAGTCACTGATTAAACAGAAGTAAACCACTGTTTCTGTGTGGTTTTTTTCCTCCTCTTGAGGAGCTAATTTAAATTATCGCAACAAATGTTAGCTCTTCCAAAGTGTGTGTATAAAAACCTACCTTCACTCATGTTAAGGTTTGAATAACTTTGGTACTAGCTCTCTGTCTATAAACTGCAAGAACTCGTTCATGTGAGCTTTCTCTTAAAATGTTTTATACCTGGAGACAAGCAAATAAGTCCCAGCTTCTTAACCTGCAGCTGCTTCTGCTGCTGCCCTGCTGTCCCCTGCTGAACTGAGTATACAAAAAGTTTGACTAAGTTGGAAGAGTAGGGGGAGTATGGAGGAAAAGTTTCTAGTAGCATTCTCGTAAAACCTGGTGAAGGGGGCATGCTAAGGGGTCTGTTCTAAACCCTTTTATAGCAAAATGCTGGAGAGATGAGGTAGCTTTGAAGATGTGTGTCCTTGCAGCTTCTGTCTACAGGATGAGAATGGATTACTCTACTAGGCAGGTTGGTCTCATTTAGCTACCACTGTTTACTCACAGATAAGTTTCTAAGAGGTGGTAAAAGGAAGATAAATCCATTATTTTAATGCTACACTGCCTGGAACAATTCATGGCATTTTGATGTGTGTAATGAGGAGGAGCTTAATACTAGAGTACCCTTTAGGGAGGGTTCCTGAGGCTAGAAGGCGAAGGCTTGGACTAGACAGAATACTCTTTGGTTTCATCCTGTTTGTTCTGAATTCACAGTGGCTTGCAATTCCTGTTCTGTTTTTTTGCTGTGCCCAGCTCTTGGCCAAAGTTGGAAAAGCAAATCATACCTTGCTACTTCTAGAACTACATCTTCAGGTAGGGTAACTAAGCTAGTGTAGAAATAGTAATTCTTCATAAAGGTTGGTTATTAGATTAAAACTTGACACTATATGACAGGTTTTCTGGAAATTTTAGTGACAATACTGATACCAAACTGTTGAAGAATAACGGGTTTATTAAAAGCTTAATGTGATACAGTGGTTGCAGACACAGTGCTAATGACAAACTCCTTTGTGTTTTTCAAATTAGTAATCAGGCTAGACAATGTTTTCAAGCATGGATATATGCAGTAGACAGATCTGAGTCAGGTACTTGTGGACATTTCTTGAATAATGCTGTAAAAAATTTTGCCAAGTGCAGGAATTGTTTGGACAATGCAACTGTAACAGCACTTAAAAATAATATTATCAGTGTCTTAACTGCTCACATTTCTGCACCAGATACAGATATATCTAGTATGGTTTGTAATATTTACATGGAGAAGCAGTGTGATGTAAAATTTGAGACCCTTTTTTTTTTTTTACCAATCTTGATGTTTGCAAAGTCAGCTTTATTGTTTAGTTTCCCTCTGTGCTTTTATACTGGACGTTGCTTGCAGGTGATGAGTAGATGTATTTCATGCATGGTACACGTTAGTAAACAAAGTGTGTTACAGCCAGTGTACTATACATGGTGTAAGTTCACTTTTTGTTGCCAATTCAGGAAGAAGAAAAAACATACAGTTATAATGGACAAATTCTGTTACTGATCTGATTGGGACCACACAGAAATTATTTTAAAATCCTAATCTGTGAGTTGAGAAGAAAGTGATTCCTGCAATACCCATTTATTCCAGAGCTCAGTTCACCAAATATTTTGGGGAGGAGGAGAAATAGTGAGTCTTTTGTGCCCACCCCAAGTCTCCAGGTAAATACTGTAATTATTGCTGTCTTTTAAGTTTGAAATCTTGGTTTTGGTGACTCCAGAACTATCAAAGACTTCTGTTCCAAGGTATATTTTACTAGTAGGTTTCAAACTTTTTTTAGATATTTGGTCATTATTGCAGTAACGTGGTTATCTGCTGCCTTCTAAAAGCACAGTTGGTACTGTTACTGTACTAAATATCTTGGATTCAGCTGACAATTGGATTATTTTCAACCTCAATATTGAAAGCAACAAGACCATTAAATGAAAAACCTAAATAAAAGGTCACATTTTCATTTCCAGGGGGCACTGAATCACGATGGAGTGGCAAGATAGGAAATGCCTTTGTGTGACCACGTATAAATAAATTTCTGTCTGTGGTCCAGCCAGAAACTCTCTTGAGGTGGTCACGAATCTTGAAGATATTCCATACAGTTCCATGTAGCCACTTCATTCTCCTCTCATCTAAGGACCCACTAATTAATTTATCGATTTTAGTTTTGTGCACAATCTTACTTAGGCCATAACCCTTTCCCAGAAAAAAGTGGGTGTAGATTCTTTTCTTTCTAGTAGGAACATCTTTCATCTTGATGTCATATAAACGCTTCAGGGTTTGAAGGGCTGAGTTTAGAATTTCATCTTTATCTGGGTGAGGCTCTCTGTCCAATGCCTCATCTGGCCAGTAGAGCAAGGTGAGCAAAAAATGGGCACTTGCTGGAAATGGTCTTTTTGCTTTAAAGAACCTTATACTGAGCTCACGAAGAGTTTGCAGTGGAAGAAGTTTGCCTGATCCTGGTGCTAAGCATGCTAATGTGATGTGGCACAAAATATAATTGATGAGATCGTTGTCCTCCAGCCTGTCCCTTAGTGGGTTTTCTGTATAGAAACTAAGGATCTTTTCTAGCTTTTCAGCTGACCTGTGCTCTTTCTTATCTGTTAAGAATGACAGGATAGTAGTGACACTACCTCCACCACTCTTATAAATATTCATGCGTCTCATCAGCTGGCTTTCGGGGCCACTGTTGCTGTCCTCAGTAAGTGATGTTGAGATGAAGAACTTAGCATATACGTCAGTCTGTCTTTTTAGCCATTTTCTGGGATTATAAATTTGTTCTTCCTTTTCATCTTCCTCTTCCTTCTCCTGGTGTTTATCTGTTTGGAAATAACTTAGGTCTTCTGAAATCCATTCCAGAGCATTGTACAGGTTCTGGTGTAAGCCTTTTAAGTGGGAGTGAAGCCTTCTCCATGGTTTTTCAATGTCTTTAGGAATGTAATCTGTGATCAGGTATTTCACAAGCTCAGAATGTTCCGCCTCTGGACTTGCGCTAAATACATGGACTGTGGACAAAAATCTAAGAAGACGACATCCTACTTCTACCTCCCCAAAATAGCCAGCATTATTCATACTGTCACGTTCTGCTTTTGCAGCCTGTTGTGCTGCCCTGAAACATCTCATGGCTTTCAGAGCCATCTCTATCTTCTGAATGATGCTTTCAGGAGTGTCCTCCTGTGTCATTTTATCCACAGTGAAACTAAACCATTTCCTGTAGACTTGACCTTCTGTATCTAAAATATAAGAATCATTTGGCAAATAAAATTTTGCAAGCCCTGCCCAATATTCTGCATCTTTGAATTTTTCATTGTTGTAATTCAGTCTGGCAAGCTGCTGGGCAAAAAAAGGGTCTTTTCCAAGGAGTTCATATGCAGCTTTTAAAACAGCTATAGCTTTCTCACAGTCTTCAGCTTTGCAGATGTGTTCAATGAAGGGGGAGAAAAGAGTGTCAGTATTGTCACCCCTGCTTCTTTTAGCACGTCGAATAAACAGATCTCTGATGAACTTTATGAATTCCTCTCGTCCAAATCTGTTTTCAAAGAGCATCTTTTCCTGAAGAAGTGTCATTGCAAGTTGACTCTGAGGTTCATTCCCTGAAAGCTGATGCAGAATTTCTTTTGCAACCAGACAGTGTATTATCCGAACAGATGAAATGTAGGTGGTACTTTCCCTCAGCTCAATAAAAATCATTCTTGCTTGTTCACTCAGGTGACTTTTGAAATCATACGCTCTTGATTGGCTTTCTGTATATACCCCCAGTCCCAGAAAAGCCTCACAGTGCGACAATGAAACATATGAGTTAGGTACATAAAAATTAAGCAAAGCCACATAACGCATCAAGCATGTGTCGCGAGACGAATGGTCTATGTCTTGCAATATGTGCCCTACAAAGTCTCTCACGTATGCTTCATTGAACTCCTCGCACATCAGGACAAAAGTAAGTATGAATTCTGGCTTGACATCTGTCTGCTTCAGTTTTTCAAGTTTAGCTCTGAACAGACTTTTCTCAGAGTCCATCAGCTTGTGAGTGACAGCAACTGTGTCCAGTGGCGAAGCCTTGCAAAGCCTTTCAGGGTCATTGGATCGTCTACAGCACATGAGGATGAAGTAAGGTTTGGGGGAATTAATTTTCCTAGTTGCTACAGCATCCATTAACTCATACTTTAGTTCTTCTAAATAGTCTTCATCGTAATCTTCGATCAGGAGCAGCACAGGAAAACAGTGACTGATGTCTTTTTCATCATATTCTCTAAAGGCAAGTGCATGCTCACAGACAGTTGCGGGTGGATATGTGGCTTTGATAACAGCACATCTCAAGTCCTTTCTTCTTTTCCATAGAACTTGCCGTGCTATTGTGCTTCCACCACTTCCAGGATGGTGAAATATCTTTAGTTTAGCCACAGAATGTCTGAGTTCACTTCCTCGTAAAATATCATCTAGGATTTTGTTGGCATCCTTACATGCTTCACGTTCAATGATTTCCCCACAGCGTCTTTTATCAGCAAGCCAGAAGTTTTCCCAGATGATTTTCCTCCCTCGGTAGAAATTTTGTTCTATTTCTTGTATTTCTTTTTCAGTCAGAAGATCTAATTTGATATCGTCACACTGGTCAACGCAAAGGATTTCTAGGGAAAACAGTTTCTCTTCTTCCAGCGAGGGAAGCGTACATAGCCCTCTCGTGGAAACTGGCAGGTGTCTGGGTTGTGCTGTAGAAGGCAGCATGGTTTGAATGGTGGCATCTATGTGACTTAGCTTCATACCCACAATACTGCATTGTTCTAGTGTCTCGATGCTGCAGGATGCCTGAGCTAGATTAGCCCACTTCCTATAATTTTCTCTGGACTCTGAAATGCAGACGATGTACTCGGTGCCATTCATCTCTGTGTAGAATTCCTGAAAAGTGTCCACAAGTTGTTTCTGCACTGGTGATAGCAATAGGAAAAGCACAATGAAAGACCGCTTTGGCAGGATTTCATCACAGATACGAGTAATTGCTTTCTTAAGGTATTTTTTTTTTGTTCTAATCCATGTATTTTCATCACAAGGTTTTTCATCCCCGAGGAAGTCGCTGCGCCCGTTGCAGAATATCCAACTGGTCTGATCAAACAGGCACAAATGTTTCTGAGAGGGAGGGTTGCCAGTCTTGCTTTCAGTGGAAAAGTCCTGTAAAAAATAAGACCTTGTTGCATGGTGTTCTTTGTACTTGCTGTACAGCCCTGACACATTAGAATCTTCGTCAAAGTCAAAGACACAGAAAATGTTCAAGTGCATCAAAAAGTTGATATAGTTCAGATTATCCTTTTCACATCTGTTTATGACAAGGATGTACCGTAGGGAATCATCCATATAGCTTTTGCCATCATTTAGTAGAATCGATAGCTTTCTTCCTAAATTTTGACATATTTCTGTGTGTGCTGCTGTGCTGGAGAGCTCAGCTTTTTCTCTTTGAGCATCCCTGTCTTGTAAACCCTGAATAAAAGTAGCTAGATTGTTGTGCTTTACAGGTTCAGACTTTGCTCCTAGTCTCTGATAGAGAGCTCGATCTTTTGTCAGGGTCACCTTCTGGCTGTCTTCATTGTATTTTGGCAAATACACTTCAAAAAATCTGTTCTTTACTAAACTGGATGTTGGTTCAATGTCAACCTCCACTACAAATTTTTGTTCCTCAGAGTCTTTTGAAATCACTTCAACAAAAACGGGTGGGTGAATACATTTCCTTGCAATTTCTTGTTCACTTTCACAAAAACATTTTTCTATATAATCTAATGCATCAGTGTAGTATTCTCGCTCTTTAACCTTTATGCCAACGATCTGCCCGTGTTTCCAACCCCTTTCCTCTATGCTGTCCATGACGCCAAAATGTATGGTGCCATTTGTCCTAACATTCATGCAGGCTGAAGCAAATCGTATCACTTCGCAGGCAAATTTTGATTGCAGTTGATTTTTGTTCAGTTCTGCAGCTGTGGCAAATGATTTGTATTCATGGCAAGGAGTGATTAGACCACTGACTCCTGATTCTGGAGCAAGAACTTTGTCTTTCACATATTTGAAATCGGTATTCTGACTTCTAAATGGTCGACAGTTGCTGAGCTCTAAAACTTCATCGGTATTTTTCAGTTGGGAGTTGTTGCTTTTCCTTTTCTTGCCAGTAGAAGCTGGGGTGTGTGTGCTGGTTTTATCTGCTGGATCACAGCTGTCTCCAGTTGAAGTTTTTTGGGCAGGAGAATTTTTGGGTCTTACTGAATCTGCTTGTGCATCAGTTCTGCCAGATGTGTTGGTGCTGGAATGCTTGGCTTGCTGGGCATTTTCCTGTAGCTGCAGAAGTTCATTTCTCTTGCGGATTAACACATGGATTTGGCCTCCCTTCATACCTATGCCTCTGAGGAAAGAGTCATCCAGTTCCATTAGCGCTGGACCTGTCACTTCTTCCGCATGTAGTTTTTCTACATACTCCTTCTTGATTCCTGTAGATTCTAGCCAACACCGGACATGGTTCTCATCCCATTTATTCACAGGTAATGTTCTGTAATCTAGAAGTGTGTTATGTATTAGTAATACAAACTAAAAACATGTCAACAAACATGACAAAGCATTATAATCCTTGCAGAACTGGCCACATTGAATGCTAGATTTTCTTTCTATCAGTCACAGCAAGAGATTGTGTCAGTTCTGATGACTAAAAGCATCCTTAACCTTAATCAAAAGCATTCCTGAGCACTGGTACAAGAGTAATAAATCAGTGAATCAGGAAACCAGGAAGGAGTTTTGGAAATGATCTTCAAAGGGAGTCATGGAAGTAACCCAGAATGGTTTTTTGAAGGGAATGATGTGATAAAGTTATTGGAATGGACAGGGGCTAAGTTCTCTCTAGAGAGCTTTGGGTAGATCATTTACTGACTTGGTTTATTTTCTGCTAAATGAAGACAGCATCAATACAGACCACAAGGTGATGTTAAGAGTACTAACTGGTTTCCTCACTAGAGGTTAACCCTTAAAATACAGATATTAAGAAGCAAATTGTTACATCTAAAGTACAATTTTTTTGAAAGCAACACCTTACCCATTGCCTTTGATGAGGGATATCCTGCTGGTAATGAAATAACCCTAGAGGGAAAGAAAGTACCTGTTCAAATTTGCAGTTAACATTCCTATCTTAGTTAAGTGTCTTGTTCTGTTTTCCTGACTCCCTCCCTGCCTTTTCAGTCCAAGGTAGTTTCTGCACCTTCTGGTACCTGCCTCCCTGGGCCTGTTGCTGGAGAAGCAGGGGTTGAAGCTCCTGCTGCTGCAGCCTGGGAAAAAGGAGACCCACCGCTCCCGGGTCCCCTTGGCTGCACCGCACCTCGCACGACGTTGTTTGGGGCTGAAAAGGTCCGTGAAGTGCCGGCCTCCGTGGGCCCCCCGCCGTCCACAGGGGTGTGGCGGGGGAATCACGCACCCCCGCGCTCTGCCGAGCCCAGCTCCGCCACCTGGGGCAGGAGCCGCTTCTCGAGGGGTGGAACTTACCGGGAATAGAAACTGAAAGCGGAGGCGCGGCCCCAGCTCCCCCCCCTT